GCCGACATATCTGAGTGTCATTTAGCACCCTTTTTGTACATCGAGTGTTTATAAAGACGGGAACTAAGGGCATGTTAATCTTTTAATTTTTGTAACTTCGCAGATTAACGATTCTGGCATTGCTCACTCAACACCAACGTTGCTATATTTACCATCTGCCTGGGTACGCAAACCCAAAATGACACAGTGTTTTGACTAGACTGTTCTTCCTGCCGCACGAGGCCACAGGAAGTGTAGGTGACCAGGCTAACCACCGCTGGGGTGCCCCCCCGAGGTCTGGGGGAGGGGAGGGGATAGCCAGGCGACAGAGGCGGGAGGGGGTAGGCCCAAATGGGCGGCAGGGTCAACGATGTGTCTCCTGAAATAGACCGTTATTGTCCTCCCAAGGACCCGGGGTCCTGTCAGAGATGTAAACATCGACCTCCATAACCTCTGTCCGCTTGTGTTTGTCACTGATGGGAGTAAAACCCGCCATGAATCGACGGGCAAAAAGCTTCACCAGGACAAACACAGAGTCACCCGCACAGTTTGCTCTGGAGGCCTGATAACGTGGTTGACGCTCCACAGGTCCAGGCAGCGGCTCAGCACAGGCTGAAAGGACGGCTGCCGGTGCTTTTGGGTCCGTCTGTAGAACCCGGGTCAGCGCCACCTCCTCAGATTTTGGGCAGCGTAGGAGCCCAGAAGGTGGGATGGACCGGGGCAGGGCGGGGCGGGGCGGGTTTGAGTTCAGCCAGCGGACGCAGATGTGGCGAGTGGGCCGCCCAAGCGCGCCGTTTCGGGCGAGACCGCAGCTTGGCGTGGCGTGGCGTGGCGTGGCATTGGGCTCGGTGAGTTCTGGTGCAAAATGCCAGAGCCGGATGTGCCCAAAGACAGAGACACCATGCAGCAAAGACAGAGCAGGACAGAGGGTCCATCTAATGATCACCCAGACGCTGGATCCTGTGTCCTGATGCATGTTCTTGGCCCAGAGAAACTGATCTAAATGCCTCCGGAAGTTGCTACGAAACTCAGGCTCTCAAAGTCTGGGCCAAGGTCCGGATGCGGACCAAACTGCATGTTAATCCAGACCCAGCCTATAATGCATCTTATGAATCAGTATGGTTAATGTGAAAAGGCTTCATATGGTTTGAAGTACAAAAATACAATGAAGAACCACGAAACTTTGCACAAACATAACTCCTCATAATCCCCCCATGACAAAGAGAGACAATCAGCACCATGAAAAGCTATTATTAATTTATTAAATTTCATAAAATGCTGTTTTATTACCTCTGCCTTTGAACAAAAATCTGATGTGGACCTTTGATAAAAAAAAAAGTTTCAGAACCCCATACAATGAAGACTGAAATGAAGTTTCATTTTCCATTTCTATAAGTGTGTTGCAATGCACTCTCCTCACATCCCATCTTGTGCTCTTTTCACATCCCATCTCGCTCTCCTTTTTTATAAGACACACACACACACATAGAGGTGAGAGTGAAGCTTAAGGAATGTGCTTAGTCTATGTTTTTTTACTGCATTGAGGGGAATTGGTTTCCAAGGTTCAACAGAAATACCCCAAGAACTAACATGGACTTTGCACTTAAGTTTATAAAGCCTCCTTGGTGGGGGTCACACACGAGCACGTACTCCTGTCTAACTGACGTGCCAGGCCATCCAACTCGTCGTGGTGCCAGGTGACCGACCAACCATGCTGCATTACCGGGCGACATGTTCACAGGATGCCTGGTGTGGAAAGGAGCTGTCCTGGATCGCCAAGGAAACTCTGCCCGCAGGGACCATGACTCCCGCATTCACCGTGACAGGAGGAAGCTGTTCCCACTGCAGCCAGGGGGCGCTGTACATGGGGAGAATGTTAGGACGATTCCAAGGGGCCCTGAGGACAGGACTGGGGCCCTAAAAATTCAAGATTCAAGATTCTTTAATTGTCACATACATAGTCATACAAAGTACAACACGTAGTGAAATGCATCCTGGACCGCTCTTTTGTAGACTGTGCGAGTTAAAAATCCAATTATGCTAAAGTTAAAGTGCAAAAAGCTAAAATGCAAGTAGAGAAGTATGTTCAAAATGAAAGGTAACACAGACATAAAAAGGGTGACCAGTGTAACAGTGTGGATATGGTGAGGTGTACAAGAGCACAATGTACATCAGGGTGTGAGGTGCAATGGCACGTCCAGGTTCAGAAACCTTATGGCCTGGGGGTAGAAACTCCTCCTAAGCCTCTCAGTCCTGGCTATGATATTCCTGAGTCTCTTTCCTGATTTCAGAAGCTGAAACAGGCTGTTGTTGGGGTTTGATGTGTCCTTGATGATCCTGAAGGTCCTGCTCCTACATCTCTTGATGTAAATGTCCTGAAGAGATGGAAGCGCCGACCTGCAGCAGCCTTCTGCTGCACGGATCACCCTCTGGAGGGCTTTGCGATCCTGAACACAGCTATTCCCAAACCAGGAAGTAATGTTCTGAGTCAAGATGCTCAGAAATTTGGAACATAATTGGATTAGTCTGGGTTGGGGGCCCAAAATCTCCAGCAGCGCCCCTGACTACATCAGGTCAGATTGCAGGTCTTGATAAATCTAGAACCTACTTATATCTTTACTATACACTACTGGCAAGCAGCATATGAACTGTCATTGACGAGTAAACTCGGGTGGAGTGGAGGCTCTGTGCAATCAGTAGGTTGCTGGTTTGAATCCCGTGAATGCCAGGTAATCGGATTCCGCTGGACCTTCAGCAAGGCCCTTAACTAGCAATTGCTTTATCCTGAGTATGACATTAACCTCCATCCAGGCCAGCAAGCAGGTCGTCTAACTTGTAGGGGGTTGGTGGCAGGATTGGCCCCCCAGCCACCGGAAAGACACTCACACTGGTCCATTCGGACTAGTGTGGTGTTCAGTATCATCTGTCCCACAGCTGCGCTGTTCTCATCCCTGAGGCGGTTGGTCGTGTGGTGGATGCTGTAATCAGTGCACGCTCCTTACCGCTCTCCCTCCCTGAAGCTGAGGTGTGCTGGAGGGACATGCCTGTGCTTGGTTCTGAGGGAATCGACAAAGACCGCGGGCCAGAAAGGCAGCCTGTAGCGGGCGGCTGTGTCACATCCCTCCCCCGAAGCATGAAGCCTTGAGGCCGGTGTTTTTGTCACGGAGAGCGGCGGCATTTTTGGCAGGGAGCCTGTGGTATTTTCCATGCTCCTCTCCGCCTCTGCCGCGTAACGCTTTCCACATGTGCGTCGGGTCTCGCCCCCTGTCTGTGAGGCGCGGCGACCTCTGCTCAGCCCGCCGGGATCCGGCAGCCCGCTGTCAGCCGCTCCCCCCCACCCCGCGAAGCCTTACGGCTAATTATGTGGCGGGACGGTGTTAGCAGACCGCTGGGGTGTCGCCGAGATGCTACCTTCATTCCCACTCGCTCCGCATGAAACATCGCTGCCAGGCGACACAGATCTGCGGGTATCTTTATTAAAATCACAGAGTTGGGGTTAAGGAACAAAGACATGCTCACCTTGGGTTTAACGCTGCAGACAAAACCACCGATCAAAAATCCCACAAATAAACAAAAAAACTGAGAAATTTGGTAACAAACAATTTTTGCTTAGTGACAATTTCTGAGATTTAGTTTGAACAAATATGACAAAATCTGTACAGACACCCACACACATTCACACACCCAGGCACACAAAATTAGTTCATTCATTGTGTATTTATAGCACACATCCAGCATGACCCCAAGTGCAATCTTAATGTGCTCATTAACATTAATGTGAAGCACTACTGATGCAGAATAGTAATCAAATGTTTATTATGATCCGTCACAGTGCTTCTGAAAATCACACACTTTCTGTTCATCACAGAAAGGCTGGTTTACTAAGATATTTATGGTGCATATTTAACTGGGACTATGACCCAATGTTGTTGTATTCATAGCAGCATGTAGCACTCATGGTTCATTTACTCTGTCCTGGGAGTTACTCACGGTGCATTTACTCTGTCCTGGGAGTCACTCACGGTGCATTTACTCTGTCCTGGGAGTTACTCACCGTGCATTTACTCTGTCCTGGGAGTTACTCACAGTGCATTTACTCTGTCCTGGGAGTCACTCACGGTGCATTTACTCTGTCCTGGGAGTCACTCACGGTGCATTTACTCTGTCCTGGGAGTTACTCATAGTGCATTTACTCTGTCCTGGGAGTTACTCACGGTGCATTTACTCTGTCCTGAGAATTACTCATGGTGTATTTACTCTGTCCTGGGAGTTACTCACGGTACATTTACTCTGTCCTAAGAATAACTCACAATGCATTTACTCTGTCCTGAGAATTATTCACGGTGCATTTACTCTGTCCTGAGAATTACTCACGGTGCATTTACTCTGTACTGGGAGTCACTCACGGTGCATTTACTCTGTCCTAGGAGTTACTCATAGTGCATTTACTCTGTCCTGGGAGTTACTCATGGTGCATTTACTCTGTCCTGAGAATGACTCATGGTGTATTTACTCTGTCCTGGGAGTTACTCACGCTGCATTTACTCTGTCTGAAGAGTAACTCACGATGCATTTACTCTGTCCTGAGAATTATTCACGGTGCATTTACTCTGTCCTGAGAATTACTCACGGAGCATTTACTCTGTCCTGGGAGTTACTCACAGTGCATATACTCTGTTTTGAGAGATACTCATGGTAAATATACTCTGTTGTCAAAGACTCACTGTACATATACTCTCTCCTGATAATTACTCACAGAGCATACACTCTGTCCTGAGAGTTACTCACAGTACAAATACCTTGTCCTACACAAATTATTTCCTGTGTGTCTGAGTTATACGTCATATGGCAGGAGATAGGTAGGCTGTTGGAAACCTGTCCCGGGAGGCTGGGTTTGAGGGGTGGGGGGCGGGGGTGCGGTTGGGCAAGGATTTGGGTGTGGAGTTGTCATCCCTTTTTTTCAGGGGTGTTTTGACTGTTGTGCACATGTGAGACAGCAACAGGAGTGTGGGAGAGAGGAAGGGAGGTAAAAACGGAGGACAGGAGAGAGAGAGTATAGAAAACTTTCCTCCCATCTGAGCCGAGGTAGAATGCGCTAGAGAGCGAGCCCTCGCAACCAAGGACAGAGTGAAGAAGAAGGGGTCCCTGCAGGGGGACTCAGAGAGCAACTCAATGCGGGGAAAGAGGAACCCCACTGAGACAGACACTAATTAGCACTTTTTATCTGTGTCACTCTGTGGGAAGAAGAAAGACTTGCAGCAGGAATCACAGAGTGGTGGCTGAACATCATGTGGATGGATGATCTCTGCAGCCTGAATGGCCTGGACCCTCTGTGGGTGAGTTGAACATCTATACCTTCTCAGAGAAAACATGAACTACCTGACTATCTAAAGGTGGACATTCCCTCAGTTAGCATGAACATCTGCATTCTATGGTTGAGTGAGAACACCTAGATTTTCATTCAATTAGTATGAACATCTGCATTCTAAGGTTGAGTGAGAACATCTAGATTTTCACTCAGTTAGCATGAACTCCTGAGTTCTCTGTGGGTGAGTATGAACATTTGGACCTTCTCTAAGTCAGCATGAATATCTGGAAAGTCCTTGTGTGAATATAAATGTAAAACATTCCCTGAGTCAGTTTAAACATCTCGACCTTCTCCGAGTCACTATGAACATATAGACTTTCTTTGAGTTTGCATTAACATTCAGGTGTTTATGTGTGAGTTAGCACCCAATTATGGGTGAATGTGAAGATTTGGACAGAGGCACCAACTGCTGACAAACCCTTAGAAGAAAAGGTAGAGATGGGCCCTATACTTCAATCCTTCAATACACAAATACTTGTCATACAGCAACTAGGAATCTGGTACTTAATGAAGTGCAAAATTGAAGTACCAGAAAAACTACTGTCCTTGTACTTTTGGTGGACTTCAGACATGTGAAAATTGGTCAATCGAGGTCACTAACCGACTTAACAATAACAATAGATAATGAAAGTTTTCTATGTGCATTAGTATGGTCAACTAAGGATATCTATCTATTTAAATGTATGGTCCATTTCATAGCATTTTCTGTTTGTGCAGAGAGTCATATTCACTCTGTGTTGGTGCTCTACACAGCCAAATCTCACCCTAAAATGAAAGTCTGATGTTGTTGCAGGATATAATTCAAGTTTTACTGAACTTCTCATTCACTGTGATCTACCGCAGCAATATTCTTATATTTGAGATGAATACTGCAGCAGCTATGAAGCAGTAAAACACAATTCCCAGCATCCAGGCCAAACCCTTATAGCGTTACATCTGATTCTGGTGCTATTTCAAAACCATTTTGGTAGCGCACATTGGAGCTGTAAAACAGAGAAGCTGGACATTTTAGTTCCAGTTGTTCTTAGGTGCCCCCTACGGTTGCCTGTGCCAAAATCACAAAACCTCACTGAGTCTCACTGAAACTGGAAGACAGTGTGTCTTCAGAGCAAAGCCCAAGGAATCTCACCACAGTGTGTCTGTTCTACTCACACGTCCTGAAATCTGGCACCGACTTCAGACAGAACTATTACTGTCTGTTGAGTGGTGAAGCCAGGCGCTGCTGGTAACGGGGCGGAGCTCTGTTCCGCCACTTGCCCGACGGCACTCACTGTCATTGGACAGGCAAGCCTCATTGGATTTGTGGTGCAGACTGTCCCTGCCCCTGATTCCCCAAGAAACACTTTCTCACCTTGCATACTTTTCTTAAATCTGCACACACGGCTCTGTATTTTGGCAGCAAAGCACTACATTTTAGTTTAGTTTTATGACCTATATGGGTAGCAGTCTGCAAAGTTAGCCAGCAATCTAAGACCTGTTGCCATGGGAACTCGGCTACCCAGCTTTAGGTCTGTTATTTCATGATGTAAAGTTTCCCGCAGCAGGCACAGGCCTGCATATCCATCATAATGACTTCATTCCCATCTCCCCACCTAAAACACCTCCCCCGTCCACCACAAAAGATGAGGGAGTTGCCTGGAGAAACAGCCTTACCGCAGAAGCATGTATGACCAACCAAGCAATGAACTGATTTACCCCAAACCGCTGTATCACCGACTTAACAGCCAAATCTATCACGAATGCCTTGGGTGGACTACTCAACGGATTTGTTTTGATGAATAAAAAAAGTTTGCCCGTAAAAATTAACTTTAAGCATTAACTGGGGCATCTCAGGCCAGAGGGTACAGCAACCCCAAGTTAAAGGGATTGGGAACAACAAATACAAAATCACATATTCAGCTCCGCGCCATACGCCTGACACACAGGTACTGCCACCTGCACTCTGCCTGTGTTTATAATGCGCTTTTAGCATTGCCGTAATCTTACCAGTGAAAAGCCGCAGTCACAGGACCAAAGGGGGTTTGAGATGGAGCTGCGAAAAGCATTGGTGCTGCTATAAATAAGGTGTGGCTCAGCCTGCCAACCTGCGGTTTGACAGCCGCACAACAAAGACGGGCCAGTGAGACTCACATCCCTCTGGATGTAACAAAGGTGAGACTCACATCCCTCTGGATGTAACAAAGGTGAGACTCACATCCCTCTGAATGTAACAAAGGCGAGACTCACATCCCTTTGGATGTAAAACCCAGGAACTATTAGGTGTGTGGTCCAGTGGACTAGGACTGGGTGTTGTGATTAAGGAGGTCACTGGTACAAATTCCAATCTCAGCAGTGTGATTTCACCTTCAGCAAAGCTCTTAAAGCTTCTCCAGGGAGGGGCTGACCTTGCTTTCTCAAAATGCATGTCACTTTGAATAAAAGAATAAATGAATGCAAGATCTGACAGAACTATGTTCTCTTATTCAAAGCTAATCTTTGGCTCTAGGGAGTTTTACTCACACGAAAATGTTCTGAGGGCATAATGAAAAATGATTGGTTCAGAGAGACAACCAATCAGATTTAGAGGAGGTAGGTCCAAGCAATTTTAGGAGGCAGGACCAAGACATCTGATTGGTCGGTCTGACATCTGATCAAGATTTGATTGCTTATCTCTTTGAACCAATAATTTTTCGTTCTGCCCTCAAAACATTGTCGTGTAAGTAAAACCCCTGTGAGCTAATCTTTATGAACTTGCCGGGAACCTGATGTTCAATTTTTGCTTGCGTGTCAGGGAGCTCTTCAGTGCCAGTCAGCCGATTAGGTGACATAGGCAACCGCCTAGGGCACCATCTTCTGAGGGGGCGCCGGCTTAGCCAGCCAGTATCAGTTTGTCTCAGAGAGGGGGTGTCGGTGGTGATGCACCACATGGGCATCAACTGGTATTGAGGCAGACCCATTTGGCTTTATGGTTAGCCACCTGTGTGGGACTCAGGCTGCCCCAGAAGGGTATGGGCTCTAAGCCTGAAACCTGTCCATAAGCGGGGAATGTCTACTTGCTGCAGTTTACAGATTCCTTGACCATATACCTGACACTCTCACCCGCTGGCTCTGTTTCAGGACTGGAACCAGACTTGGTACACGCACAACCCAGACCTGACCCAGTGCTTCCAGCACACAGTGCTGGTGTGGGCTCCCTGCATCTACCTCTGGGTGTGCGCACCTTTCTACATGCTGTACCTCAGCTGCAATGGCCGTGGATACATAGACCTGACCAGCCTGTGCTGGGCCAAAATGGTGAGTCGGTAGAGGAGGCAAGTTTAACAGCAGGATGGTGTCCCATCATAGTGTCTACCGGACACGGTCACCATAGATACTACTCAGGCACACCAGCTGAAACCTGCAATACTCATATCTACCAGCAGGGGTGCTATTCTTCACATTTTACTAGAACTCCAAAGACATGCCAGAAAGTAAACCGACGTGTGTGTATTCTAGTCCTCAGTTTCTGCTTTCGCTCAGGTCCTGGGGCTTGGCCTGGCCTCCATTGGTTTCGTGGAGTTCTTCTACATTCTACTGGAGAAGAACCAGGAGATACAGAAGCACATCGTGTTCCTGATTAGCCCTGTGATTCGCAGCCTCACCATGGTAAAGCCCCCTGACCTTTTCTAACTCATAACATCACCGCAAGGATATTGTTCTATTTAACCTTTTGCTAGACACAGACTGCTTTATATTAAGGCCAATTAGCAGTACAAACATCTATGACAGGTTCAAATGGATATGGACCCTTGGAAGCATGAAGGTCACATTCTGTAACTCTTTGGGAACCTCTTTAAGAAAACGTGCCCCTTTCAGCTGCAGACCACAGACAGAAGCTGTTTTTGTTTACTGAACAAAACCACCAGAATATTTCTGCAGGGAGTGAGCCGGAGCGACAATAGCTTACAGTTTTCCCCGTCTACTTACAAAAGATAAAAATTTCAACATATTTGGAGATCCAGACCAAAACTGAAAATGTAAAGGGAAACATTGTGCTACAGAAATGCATGTATCTCTGTAAACATTAGGAGCACGGTGCAGGTATCATCTGGGTCAGTGTTTCTTTAAGTGGTGATGGGCTGGGAAGGAGCAAAAATGTGGACTGTCTGGCAGGGAGCTGGAAGGGTGCAAAAAAAGCATCGTCTGGAGGTGCCTGAGCACCAGGTTGCCAGGTTGAGAAACACTGATCTGGATAATATCACACGCATCATGTACCATGTCTATAGCCAATGAGTAATCTTTTGGAGTACTAAAAATATAGGGCCTTATTTTTCATCCTATGTTTACTTCTTGGTATCAATGAGCCCCATACCATCTGCTGTACTATTACGGTCTGTTTATGGTCTGATGAAATGAGCTATGAATTTCCCTAATGGCTGCTCCCCAAACCGCTACTAGGCTGGTCCAGAGGAAACTACGCTAATGCCCAACCCCCGAAGTCTCTGAAGTCTCTACTGCTGCAAGCTGATGTCTCTCCCCCCCGCAGGTTCTGGCCATCAGCGTGGTCCATCTGGAGAGGACCAAGGGCTGTCGCTCATCCATCATCCTCTTCATCTTCTGGCTGCTGGCCGTGCTGTGCTCCTTGGTGCCGTTGCGGGCAAAGATCCAGCTCGCCATCCAGGAGGTGAGGGGTTCCAAACCCTGACTTTTAGAAAATGGGCCATGGCTTTGTCCTTGACCTCTGGTCACTCTTGTGGGACTTTCCCCAAAGCCTCCAGAATCCGCCTCCATCTCCCTTTTCCAGTGCTGCCTGAGGGAGGCCCAGGCTGCTGTTGCTGCTTCCCATGCCAGTTGTCTCATTCCCATGCCGCCCCTCCCATCCCTTCCTGTTTGTGCAGCTTCACCGCCCTCTGATCTGGCTCTGCTCATCTTCCTGCTCTGTCCTAGTCTGTGTTGTCAGCCGTGGAGACACGGTCATTGCTAGGGGCTGGGGGGTCCCTCCTTCAGGAAGGGCCACAAGCCAATCGACACCCTCAGAGTTCCCTGTCACTCGGAGCTTCCGCTCGTCACCCGTCCCAATTTCCCCCGCAGAGGCGTCTCCCAGGTCATCTGTATTAGACAAATAAGCCGGCTTTGAAAACACATACAGAGACACACATGTGTGCCTACTGAACCATAAATAGCTGTATTTTCATTTAAGCCTCTGTTTTTGTATAAATGTTCCATCGACGAAGGATGAGACGAGGGGCTGCTACCTTTATGACCTTTTATAAGGCTGATTATACAAGATGACCGGGGAACATGGCGCTGGGGTCTTAATCACCCCCTGTACTGACTGTAGGGAGTCCAGTGCAACCCAAACTTTGAGGAAGGCCTCTGTATGCCAAACCCGTGGGCAGAGTTGGAAAGTGTGAGCCTGACTACATGCTAAATGCCTGCCTTTGTTAGGCCTGACCGCGTCTGTAGAAAAATCAAGCATGTGGCGATCCACAGCTGCCCCGACAGGCTGTGGGAGGAAGCATCGCAGAGCTATTAAAAGGCTGTAGTGCATTCTGGGACCTTGACTCGAACAGCCCTAGGGGCAAAGAGGTTGGCTAACGATAACCTGTGGCCCTAAATGTTAACTGAACTGCATCTACATACAGGGTAATGACAATCCCTACGCTCTCCATCTTTTGGCTCAAGCATTTCCTTTAACAATCTGCAAAACAGAAGCGGTTTGCTCGGGGTCCTTAGGTGCGGAATTCACCATGTGGCTCGGTTTAGTCCAAAGCAAACTGACCTACATATTCTGACCACGGGCGGCAGCTGTGCCTGTTTTGTCTGCGGCCGGCATGAGGTCGCCCTCCGCCACGTCCCCCGGGGGCTTCCTCACCCCCGCACGGCTTTCCATTTCCCCCCAGGGATGGCCTGTTTACCGGGGGCAGTGGGTTTAGTTCATGTCGCTGCGGGGGAATCAGTGCTTGAGCCGCTGTTTGGAGGATCCCGGTAGCCTGTAGCCGTGAGCTAGCGCCAGGGTTAGCGGACACCCTCCAGAGCTTAATTTAGCCGCCGGTTTTCGAGTCGCTCCGATAGCAGATGATGTTTGCAACCACAGGCTCTCAATTTATAGATAGCGTGACTTGGAAGCGTTACGTCCTGGCACCTGGGCCTAATTTACGTATATATATATATACATGTAGAGCCGGTGTGCTGCATGTTTGTGCCCAAACGGGCCTCGTGAATCACCGGATTTGGCACCGGGCCACGCCGTGCGAGTGGCAGCAAATCACAAGATCAGCCAATCGCAGCAGACTGTTAAAAAAAACCCTATAATGCATCCCACTTGCATGGGTCTGAGGTTTTGGCGCGTTGTAGCGTAACGCGTTAATCACCCCCTAAGATCCGCTGCACGGCGGCTGCGGCAGGAAATGAGCCGATATGGTATAACAGGAAGTAACGGGCAGGAGCTTGTGGTGACGGACTCGGCAGGAGAAGAGCCCCGACACTGGGCAGTATAAGTTTTCGCTGCTCTCTAATGACTAATGAGGCTTCGCGGAAGAGTGTTGCATGCAGTGTGGAATTTCACTTATCCGCAAGGAAATAGCCAGGGTTTTCTTTTTTTTTTTTTTCGCTGTAGTTGTTTTAACGTTTGTTTAATGTGGGGCTTTTCCAGCCTGGGAAGCAAACCTCAACTTATTGCTGGGATTCTTTAGAAAACAGAATGATGGTACGAATACAGACAAACAGCAATTTCTTATTGATTTAAGGAACATGAAATAAAAAAAAAAGGAAACAAGTATAAACTAAGACGTGGTGAATGGTGTTGGCACTGTAAACACTGAGATTCCTGAGAATAAGCCACAGATGTACCCTTAGGGAGGCACTGCACAAACCCTTTAAAGCACATACATTTGTAAAAAGATGTAATTATAAGCTAAGTAAGTCTTTCTGCAAATATTTACAGAGCTATTCTGCATGGTACATATCACTGCAGTCGATCCAGTAAAGATAAGGCACGTTCCTAGGCTAATGAGGCCTACCGTTACCTCTCACTAACTTAGCCAATGAGCACGGCCACATGTCCCGTCTCAGAACCACTAAACCTCTGTCTCACCTAACGACCGTAATCTTGCTGCCTCAGCCAATGAACATCATCTTGACACCATGTTCTGCCAATGAGCATTATGCTACTCTCTGCATTGACCTATGGTCTGTCTTGTTTCACTTGCGCTTCAGGATTTCTCGGTGGACGCCCTGCGCTATCTGGCCTTCTTCAGTTACTTCTCCTTCCAGCTGGCCCAGCTGGTCCTTGTCTGCTTCTCGGACCGACGCCCCAGTACGGCAAAGCCTGTCTCTGTCAAGGTGCGGGATCCCCGAATGAGAGCACCGATCGTCACATGGGGGGGTGACACCGCCCCACTAGGAGTGGTCCTTAACAAATCCGTATTTGATGTTTGCAGAATCCCTGTCCGGTCCAGGATGCATCTTTCTTGTCGAAGGTTCTCTTCTGGTGGTTCACAGGGTGAGCAGCTTTTCCTACCCCAACATCAGCAACAACCAAACAACAATAATAACATCAAAAAAAACAACAAGAATAAACATGCTATGACTCAACGTTGAGGCAAGCGGTCCCAAAATGTGGGCCTGCCAGTGAACTACATCCTTTCAGCAGCTTGACTGACTCTGATGTGTGACCCTCAGGCTGGTGGTGAAGGGGTACCGGCAACCCCTCCAAGTGGAGGACCTGTGGACCCTGAGGCAGGAGGACACTTCTGGGCACATCATCTCGGGCATGAAGGAGGCCTGGAGCGAGGGGTGTGCCAGGCTTCAGCGGTAAAAACCCGATACCTATCGCCAGAGTAATGGCTGCTCGCCATTCAGTTATCAAACCTCGTCATCATTTCAGCAACATGTCTAAGCAGAAGGTAATTAAACAGTCAGCAAAGGGGGTATTTTTCATACCTTCCAGGCTGGTATCATGTACACCATTTTAGAGGTTAATGCTTCTTCTGTTCATGTACATAAACACAACACACCACATGGATTCATTAAAATTCCAGATCAAAGTCGCCAATGGCAAATCTGAACGTGTGTGTCCACTGGCAGGCAGGAGGGGGCGCTGCACTTAAGTGCACCGCAGGGCTATAGGCTGGCGGAGCAGCCCCAGCTGCTCAGGAAACTGCAGAAGGAGCAGAGCTCGGGGCTTCACCTGCTGCGCACCCTCGCCCGGCGCTTTGGGCCCCGCTTCCTGTTGGGGGCGCTGTGCCTCGTCGTCCACGACGCTTTCCTGTTCTCCATTCCACAGGTGCTCAGGTGAGATGGAACACAGGGCCGCTGTGGTGCTTTATTCCCACTCAGTGACCAATGGATGAGCGAGAGACTGGGGGGCAGGGGGGGTAAGGATCAAGACCCCATCATCAGGCTAGGCCAGCTGGCAGCAGTAAGACTGAGACTGATGCATGCAAGATGCAGGCATGCTGTACTACACCTTGCTGGTGTATGCTACTCTAAGCTAGGCTCTGCTACGCTATATTAGGGTATGCAAGGCTCTACACCACTATGTTAGGCTCTGATAGAGTATGCAAGGCACTACTATGCTATGTTAGGTAGTGCTAGGCTCTGCCAGGCTCTCCTATATTTCCACGATGTCACAGGGACGTGGCAAATTCTTCCCCCCATCAGCATAATTTCGCAGGCCAGCCCTCACATCCGGTAGCTGGGCAAAGATTCCCAAATAGATGCCTTACCCTCAGACCTGAGCAGAGGAACACCTCCCCCTCTTCAAACCCTTGTACTCCTCTTGGTGATACCTCACCGATGTTATACTCCACAGCCCGCTGCTGGGATTCATGAGGGAGCAGGACGCCCCCTTGTGGAAAGGCTACTTCTACGCCGCGGCGATGTTCCTGCTGTTGTGCCTCCAGTCGTTGTTCCGCCACCAGTACATGTATGCCTGCTTCACCGTGGGCATGAGAGTAAAGACGGCCGTCATGGGGCTGGTCTACAGGAAGGTGTGTCTTCACGGACAAACGGGAGGGAGCCTCGTATCCCAGAAGCCAACACACTGACCTTTCTGCCATGTCTCCTTCCCCCCAGTCTCTGGTGATCAACAGCGCCGCACGCCGGACATGTACCATGGGGGAGATCATCAATCTGGTGTCTGCTGACACTCAGAAGCTCATGGACTTTGTTGTGTACTTTAACGCCATGTGGATTGCTCCTGTGGAGATTGCCCTGTGCCTCTTCTTCCTCTGGCAGGTAAACCTTCTCTCAGCCTCAACTACCCGGACTGTGCTTATGAGGATTGGTAGAGGTTTGGGAGGGAGGACAATGGGAGAACTTGCTATCAATGTAGGAGGGGATCGTGATGGTGAGGGTGGAGAAAGTGGCTCTATCACGGCAACTCAGTAGCCACCTTCTCTCTCTGCATCCTCCAACAGCAGCTGGGTCCGTCTGCCCTGGCCGGCATCACAGTCATCATCCTCATCTTCCCCCTGAACGGCTTCATTGCTAAAAAACGGAGCAAGCTCCAGGTAAGGCCGTCGTCACCCCCACCCCCCCCAAAGAGCCAGACACTGAGGTGGGCGCCCCCGCAGCACGCTCCCTCACACCCAACGTGATCCCATTTTAGCTGGCGCTCTGCAGCTGCATCCAGTAAAACCAGGCCGGCTAGAGCGCTGCCAGGCCACCCTGCGGGCTGCGTGTGTATTTTTCATCTTGCAGCTTCCCCATTTTGCCCTTAAAAAATATATAACAGCCACAAATGACTCATAAAATATTAATTTCTTATTTATAGTACTTCAAACAACAGGCAGGAAGTCAGTGCTTTAAATTGGAAAAGTTAATTATAATTACTTTTAACCACCATTCTGGCTTTCTTCATTTCCTTCCATCCCTTGGTCCTCGAAACTCTTACCCAGTAGAGCTGGGAAACAGTGTGGACAGGATTCCGGTCCATCGCGGGGACACGCAACTGCACACACCGCATCTTTTTTTGATGTATGGAAATTCACATGATGATTCCTGCTGCTGACCGTCCTGGGTGGGGTTTCGTCTCTCCCTCAGGAGATGCAGATGAAGTTCACGGACCGCCGCATCAAGCTGATGAATGAGATCCTGAGCGGAATAAAGATCTTGAAGTTCTATGCCTGGGAAAAAGCCTTTCTGGGCCAAATCCGGGACTGCAGAGAAAAGGAGCTAGCAGCTCTGAAGAAATCCCAGATCCTCTACTCCGTCTCTCTCGCCTCCTTCAACTCCTCCTCTTTTCTCGTATGATTATTTTTCTTTTCCTTAGTAGACTCTTTTATCCAGTTTTATGCAGTTTACAATTTACAGTTTAATTTACTGATTTATACAGTTTTACTCACAACAGTAGAGTGGTATGGTCATAAGTCCCTCACCCCCAAGCCACCTGCAGTTCTTTATTGCAGTATGAGGACTTCTATTGCTCTGTGATCATGAGTGGAGTGTGGGACAATGGATCCGTCTCTGCTCTCCCCCCAGATGGCCTTCGCCATGTTTAGCGTCTATGTGTTGACTGACCCTAAAAATGTGCTGGATGCCCAGAAGGTCTTTGTCACCATGGCACTGATCAACATCCTCAAGACTCCCCTGAGCCAGCTGCCCAGTGCCATCAGCACCACCATGCAGGTGAGGTCAAAGTGTGCTACTCAAAGAAGCAATAGTAGAAGCAAAGAGCACTAGTCAAAGAGAGACAGTCAAAGAACCCTACTTAATTAGTGTTAATCAGAGAACGCTTACCAATGATCACTAATCAGACTAATACTCAAAGAATGCTAATCTAAGAGCGCTAGTGAAAGAAAACAAGTTAAAGAGTATTAATCTGAGAGCACTACTTAAGTAATGCTAGTCAGATACTGCTAGTGAAGAGCATTAGTCAAGGAGCACTAGTTAAACAGCAATCGCCACTAGGACACACAAGCAACCACAATCACCAGGCAAAGGAGCAATGGACATCACTAACATAACATGACTTCAGCTGTTTATAAAACCACCAGGGCACGGAGATCACTAAACTTCCCCTGCTTTTCAGGCTGTGGTCTCGCTGAGGCGCCTTGGGAAATTCCTTTGTCAGGAGGAGCTGAAGTCAGATGTTGTGGAGAAGGTGCCCTGCAGTCCTGGTGAGAATGAGGAAGTGAGATCATAAAGTTTCCCATGTGACAGAAACATGCAACAGTTTCCACAGTTTGACATAACGATGCTTAATACCACTGCTGAAAATGTATTAGAATGACATTGTGGTAAAGAACTGGTCTGATTCAGAAACCTACAAAGACCTTTCCTTAAAAAAATATTTGCTAGTGCCAGCTGTGGAACAAAAAGATTCATTGCTGAGGTAAAAGCATGGTTGAGGTAAAAGCCAACATACAATCAAAATAGTCTCCAGGTCTCCAGACAGCCCCAAGAAAAAGAACCAGCCATTTTGAAAAGTAAACTAATTAGATATCTTACATTTACAGATGGTTAGTGATTTTGCAGATTTAACAAAGAAATTCTGTGAGACTTTTGTATCTCAAGATGTGCAGCATTTCCATATTTACCGAGTAGAAATGTCTTTTGTTCAGAAAATTGTGCTGAAAATAATTAGTTATTTTTTGACCATTGTGACATATTCTATATAGCTGACTCAGGTGGAGATGGGGTGACAGTAGAAAATGGCACTTTCAGCTGGTCTAAAGAGGGCCCTCCTTGTCTCAAGAGGTAAGTTCCCTCAAACTCCAAAGAATGCATCTGGTTGATACAGAAGTTTCTTTAATGTTAGTTTCTTGCTTGGGATCAATGTAGTGGAAGTTTAATTCAGCCTTAAAATTCACTGACAGCACCAGTCATCATCTGGATGAATGACATTGAGACTGAATGACATTCTCTAGTTCCTAAGACTTTCTGTGTTGTGAAGTGCTCTGCAAGGCTTGTGTGTGGAAGACAGTTCAGGCGTTCAGGTTACTCGGCACAGAGCCAAACCACTGTAGCTAGGACAGCATGCTATACCTTCATGCATCTTTCTGATGTCTCTGATTGTAGGATCAGTGCCCGCATTCCGGGAGGCTCGCTGGTGGCGGTGGTTGGTCACGTGGGTAGCGGGAAGTCCTCCCTGCTCTCAGCCTTGCTTGGGGAGATGGAGAAGCGAAGCGGGCGTGTCTGTCTAAAGGTCTGTCACTGCGATCATTCTGGTAGGATGTAGCAGGATGTAGGAAAGATTTTTATACCTGGGACTTGCTGTGGGCAGGGAATGGTCCAAACCACAAGAAGACCTGGTCTCTGAACTGGAGGTCTATTGGGACCCATTTCTAACGATCAGGGTTTCAGCTTATACACTCGAGCTTTCTGCATCGCGACTTTCCCCATCACGGGGTCGATATGTCACAGGGTTGGCATAAGAAATTAAATGGGAATTTTTTGGGAGGCACGGACGACACCCAAAGGCTAGCAGATGGCACACAAAAGGTTTATATCTCCTCTATACCTTTCACACAGCTTGGTCCTCTTTGTCAGGCACATTCGCAGTACAAACAAACAAGACTTTCAATGATTCCCTTAGTCGAAATCTTTAATGAGCAGGAACAATTCACCACCGCCTTGCTGCACTCTCTTGGGACCCTTCCCCTTTTGCCTTGGTGAACTCTCTTGGGACCCTTCCCCTTTTGCCTCAGTGAACTCTCTTGGGACCCTTCCCCTTTTGCCTCAGTGAACTCTCTTGGGACCCTTCCCCTTTTGCCTTGGTGAACTCTCTTGGGACCCTTCCCCTTTTGCCTTGGTGAACTCTCTTGGGACCCTTCCCATTCCGCTCCGCTGGTCTGCTTAACACCAGTGTCTGTTTAGTGCTTCTCCGTTAGCCTCATGCAGGGCTCTGCTGTTTACATGCTAGAAATTTTTACTTTACACTTTACACACCAATGGCTTTTTTCATCACCCTTTTTTTAAATTAATTTGCCTGTTGGTTCCTTCCAGGGCTCCGTGGCCTATGTGCCCCAGCAGGCTTGGATCCAGAATGCATTCCTGCGGGACAACATCACCTTTGGGCTTGAGAAGAAAGAGAGCTGGTACCAGCAAGTAGTGGAGGCTTGTGCTCTTAGACCCGACCTGAAGATCCTGCCTGCTGGGGATGCCACTGAGATTGGTGAGAAGGTAAGACCACTGAGGTTCCTGACCTATTTTAGCAAATATTACTTGTTCTTTGGTCCCTTGAGTGTGATGCTAGGGCTGATGCTGTCATGGCTTCACCACAGGGCTTGAACTTGTCTGGGGGACAGAAACAGCGGGTTAGCCTGGCGCGTGCCGTCTACAGGAAGACTGATGTTTACCTGCTAGATGACCCTCTGTCAGCTGTGGATGCTCATGTGGGCCAACATATCTTCGATAAGGTCATTGGGCCCAAAGGCCTTTTGAAAGACAAGGTAGTTTCCTTAAAAACTTACCCATGCATTTAAAAACAATGTTATTAATTCAATCATGTTCATAATGAGAGTGCTTTGAGTCTTGTTTGATAGACTTGCATGTTTGTACACACAGACGCGCATCCTGGTCACGCATGGCCTGAGCTTCCTGCCGCAGGCCGACTTGATCCTGGTCATGGTGGATGGCGAGATCACCGAGACGGGCTCGTACCTGGAGCTGCTCAGCTGTCAGGGCGCCTTCGCAGACTTCACACGTGCCTTTGTTAGCACTGGTGCTGATTACAGAGAGAGCTCTGCCTGCCAAGGTTGGAGGAACCGCATTGTACCAGAAAGGTTCAGATCCCTACACTGCGGATGAGGAAATTACATTTTGAAATGGTTTAATTTTGTGACACATGGCAGGTACCAAGAAGTCTTCCTCCCGGCTCAGCATAGCCAACTCCATGTTTGTTTCTAGTGACCTTTCCCAGGAACAGCTAATTAGGTAATATCTCGATTATTAGGTATTAGGTACTAATCTCAATTACCACCCCAACATGACATACAAGATTAAAAAGTAACTCTGTTCCCCTCCAGTGTTGATAAGGGCAGTACCAGCTTACAGAACATGGAGTCCATATCCAATACTGATTGGGATCCAATCAAAGAAGATTTGGGCAAACTGACCGAGGCTGACCAAGCCCATACTGGAAGGGTGGGTTCATTAATCATGTCAATTATTTAGTAGGAATGATAATTGAAAATATTCAGTTGAAATGTGGGTAGTATTTTCATTTGCAACTAAATAGGATTTCCAAATAAATTGTAAGATCACTGTAATAACCCTGGAACTTTGTTCTGGATCTTCACAGGTGAAACTGGAGATGTACGTGGATTACTTCAGGACCATCGGTTTGACACTCATCTTGCCAATCGTCTTCTTGTATGCTGTCCAGCAGACTGCTTCCTTAGCCTACAATTACTGGCTCAGCTTGTGGGCCGACGACCCCATAATCAATGGCACTCAGACAGACATGGACTTCAAGCTGGGGGTTTTTGGAGCCCTTGGAATCGCACAAGGTTGGAAAAAGTCTTATTTAACACATGATACCCTCAAAGAGCTAGAGAAGAAAGAATGACTATCTGGCGTTGACCTACTCTTTGTCCTACGCATTTCAGGACTGGCAAGTTTTGGTACCATGGTGGCCATCTCAGTAGGAGGAATCATAGCCTCTCGTTACCTTCACCTGGACCTCCTGAACAACGTCCTGCTCTCCCCAATGTCCTTCTTTGAGAGAACTCCCAGCGGCAACCTCCTCAACCGCTTCTCCAAGGAGGTGGATGCCATTGACTGCATGATTCCCGAAGGGCTGAAGATGATGCTTGGCTACTTGTTCAAGCTGCTGGAAGTCTGCATTATCGTGCTTTTGGCAACGCCCTTTGCGGTGGTTGTCATCCTTCCCCTCACCCTCTTCTATGCCTTCATCCAGGTATGCAGGAGATGTCGGCCCAACAGGAATGGATTTTGATGTTTTATAGAGGGTAGAAAGTTCAGATCCTGAAGGTACAATTCCAGATCAAGATTTTGTTTCAACCAACGAGTTGAGCACTCTGTGACTGTGACTCGTTAAACTCAACTGGTTAGTTGACACAAAATCTTGGACTGGATTTGTACTTTCTGGACTTTCCACCTGCATGGTTCCACACAGCGCTGACAGCAGCAGATATCAGCAGGGCTTTAAACCACAAGGCTCCTGGTAGAGGTTCCTTGAAGGCACATTTTTCAGCCCATTATTTTTCCAAACACATTGAATAAGGTGACACTGTACCATCAGTTTAGTTTGAGCTTCATCCTCTTCTCTGCTCTAGAGTTTCTACGTGGCGACATCCTGTCAGCTGCGTCGCCTGGAGTCTGTAAGCCGCTCCCCCATCTACACCCACTTCAACGAGACTGTGCAGGGGGCCAGTGTGATCCGGGCCTTTGGAGAGCAGTCCAGGTTCATCTCGGAGGCCAACGCCAGAGTTGACCACAACCAGACTTCCTACTTCCCTCGATTTGTAGCCACCAGGTTGGAGTTACTGTATGAAAAATGTGAAGCTTGGAAAACTTCCGTCATTCATTTAGTCAATCTGGGATTGTGTCCCAGATGTTTGCATCATCAAACATTGTCCAGCCAACTCTCACTCACTGATCTCATTTTGTAGGTGGTTGGCTGTGAATCTTGAGTTCCTTGGCAATGTCTTAGTCCTTGCAGCCTCTATCCTATCTGTTATGGGTAAGGACACCCTGAGTCCTGGAATTGTGGGATTGGCTGTGTCTCATTGCTTACAGGTTAGAAAGATCTTATTCCTGTTTTTAATCATGTGCAGAAATATATTTACAACGAAGGACAAATAGTAACATCACATAACATCATGTGCTACAGGTGACAGACATCCTAAGCTGGATTGTGCGCTCTTGGACTGATGTGGAAAACAACATTGTATCTGTGGAGAGGGTGAAAGAGTACGCAGACACCTCAAAAGAGGCAAGAGTGTCCCAAGATGTGGACTTTTCTCCCAAATCCATGGCATAGGAAGTGCTTGAGTCTGCAGAGACTTTGTTCTAATGAAACTATAACATTGTTTCCCTCAGGCACCCTGGACAACAGAGAACATTTCTCTCCCTGTGACCTGGCCCCAGGCAGGGACTATAGTGTTTCAGGGGTATGGCCTACAGTACCGCAGGGGTTTGGACTGGGCTCTCAAGGACATCTCTCTGAGCATCCAGGAGAGAGAGAAGGTCTGGAGTAGGCAATCCTCATATTGCACCATAGAACTGAACATTTGCAGCAACTTCCACACACACCTCTTTTCTATCATTCCTGTCTAGGTTGGAATAGTTGGAAGGACAGGGGCGGGAAAATCATCTCTGGCTCTCGGCATCTTCAGGATCCTAGAGGCTTCAAAGGGGATGATCTACATTGATGGCATCAACATTGCAGAAGTAGGACTGCATGACTTGAGGTCCCGCATCACTATCATCCCACAGGTACAGTATATAAGTGAAATCTTTTTAAATTACTGTCTTAGCCTCATTTTTCAATAATACAATTAAGTGGGTAGACTGCTGGGGGGGGGAGTGGCACAGTGGACCAGGGTTTGAGCCTCCAATATGGTTCTGTGTGTGTGGAGTTTGCATGTTCTCCCTGTATCGTCGTGAGATTTCCTCTGGGTAGTCCGCTTTCCCCCCCACAGTCCAAAATCATGTTGAAGCTAATTGAAGTTCCCAAATTGCCTGTAGTTATGCATGTGTGAGTGAATGGTGTGTGAGTGTGCAACCTGCGATGGGTTGGTGCCCCATCCTGGATTGTTCCCTGCATTGTGCCCATAGGCTACAGACCCCCCTCGACCTTGAACAGGACAAGTGGTTTCAGAAAATGTATGGATGGACTGTTGAGAGTATGGGCTATATTACTCAGATTGGAGTACACTGGGACACCAGACTCTCTTCTCTGACAGAGCTAGCTTTTCCCAAAAGTTTCTTTCAGCCTTGAGCATAATATCATTGATATCATTGCACACACCAAAGGGCTTCATCTTCCTTAGGAAATGCACCCTACTCTGCACTGTCCTATAGACTCTGTGTCATCACGCCAGTCCAGGTCATCATTGCTGGATATGCTAATGTACTCATGGCACTGTGCCAATCCTGCACTCTCCCTGGGTGGCCCCAGAACTCATTTGTCTTTCAGACACTGATCCGTAGGTGATTCTTCTTACACCGGCCAAACAACACTCTCCACTAAACCTGTACTCATTTTCCTTTCCTTCATTGATACTCCTCACAATTGGAAAAATGTCAGAGAACTTCAGAGGGCGGCATGATCTGGAGCAGTACCTGAAGTCTGTAGTAGGAAGATCTAACAGGAATAGTGTTCAATGCACAGGAGAAGTCAATGAAGAGAATCCTCAGGAAATTGCTTGATTTGCCCAGTACAAGTAAACTCTGTGAAGCAGGAACATGATAACATCTTCCATGTGTGCCTGGTAGGCGATCTGTAGCCAAGTCCTACATGAGTGGCTTGAGATTCTGGAGGAGGAACCTGACCTCCTCTTTATCCCCCCCCCATCAGAAAAGCCCTCTGCTTCTTCTTTTCCAGGGAATAACTGTGTACAGGAGTAATTAAATGCTGAGGTATCTGTGCTCACGTTTCATCTCACCACCAGGACCCTGTACTGTTCTCTGGGTCGCTGCGCATGAACCTCGACCCCTTTGACCGTTACTCGGATGAGGTGGTGTGGAGCGCCCTGGAGCTGGCCCACCTCAAGAGCTTCGTCTCCAGCCTGCCTGATAAGCTGGGCCACGAGTGTTCAGAAGGAGGAGAGAACCTGAGGTAGGCCTGCACTCTGCTCCTCCTGCTCTCCATCTCTTCTTCTGCTCATTCTTCCCCACCTCTTGAACCCGCTGTCCCGTTACCCCTCTCGCCTGTCCGCCAGTCTGGGTCAGCGTCAGCTGCTGTGTCTGGCCCGAGCTCTGCTGCGCAGAACCAAGGTGCTGGTTCTGGACGAGGCCACGGCCGCCGTGGACCTGGAGACGGACAACCTGATCCAGTCGACCATCCGCAGCCAGTTCGAGGACTGCACCGTGCTGACCATCGCCCACCGGCTCAACACCATCATGGACTACACCAGGTGAGGATGCTCAGGCATCGATGAGCCACGGCACCAGAACTATCACAGGAGGAAACAGATAACTGAGCAAGCGGAGTCACTTAAAGAAGACTGGGTGGATTCAGATGTACAAACTACATATATTTGTGAGTATTACCTGTATTCCTGGATGCTCTTTTTCATGTGAACTGTTACAGAGTCATCGTGATGGACCAGGGCCAAATTGTGGAGATTGGCACGCCATCAGGCCTCATCGGCCAGCGGGGCCAGTTTTACAACATGTGCCTCGAAGCCGGACTGGTGTGAGCTCTTGACCGGCATGTTAGTGGGATAGGAAGAAGCAGGCGCCCTGGAACTTCCCTCAGCAGAGGAGCGGAGAGCGCCACCTGGTGTATGGAGGCAGCAACGACGCCACAAGAACAATACCACAAAATCAAACAGAATGAGCAAAGACTGCTGCCCAGCTACGGGTCCCCCTAGTCTCAAAGTCAAGGTGACATGAGGATCAGGGATGGGACTCACGCATAACATTTGGGGTGACTGTGACCACAGAACCCACATCAGTCAGAATCACAGGCTCTAAGTAAATGAAGGGAAACTGAAAGACCATCACTTCATATCATTTGTGTTTTAAAGTACTGTATTTTAAGAAATAAAGTGCCAAAATATTTTATAAAGAAATAGACGGGTACCTTGTTAAACTATATCACAGGTGGGTGCCTTAAGACATGCTTTTATAACTCAGCATGATCTGACTATTAACCAGATAACAGGGAATCAGAGCAGTGGGTTAAAACACCTGAACATCTGACTGCAGTTACGTTGAAAATGGTGCCTTCAGGGAAGGAAATGTGCAAAAAGGGCCAATTTAAAAATACATACAACTAAATGTTCCATTTATAAGACTGAAATGTACACAGATGTTATTTTTTTTTTTTGGTGAGCAGAGTGCTGGAATTGCCCTGTTCAGTGCACATATCTGTGACGCTACCGCAGTATGAATGGGGATGTATAATGTTTTTAGGCAATAAAATTGTTTTGTTAGTCACAGTGCAACACATTAATAAACCCTAAATAGGGGTTTTGCATTAACTGTATGCATTACCAACAATCCCATACTTGTCCACCAAAAATCATCATACACTTCAGTAAAAATGATTAAAAATGTTTCTTATTTACAACAGATTCAGGTTATTTATCCTTAATGGGAAATTTTTGTGTTGCAGTACCCATTTAAAAAAAATATATATATATTTTT